TTGCAGCCTCAGGCACAGCCTCAGTGGTTCCCACTTTCTTTTCCAGTTGCAGTAATACCAGCTGTGGTATCAGATCATCTGGGAAAAACTGGTTTGCTCCAAAGATCAAAGCCCAGCCCTACCCAACCGTCCAGCAGCCACTGCCATGAGTCCCCTGTGCCATGTGTGGGTGCAGCCCAGGTCATGGGGTCCTCTGCTTGTGGGATGGGAAGGAAGAAGCCTGGAAGAGTCTCCCTGTGCCCCCAGTCCCCAGTCACTGCCTGTCTGTGGTGTCCAGGCCTACAGACTCCCCACAGATGCTGAAGGCAAACTCCTGCCTTGTTTGTCCAGCACATTTTGCTGTTCTGTTCCTGATCTCTGCCTGTGCCCTGGAACTGCCCTGGCAAAGGGGATCCCTCACAGGGCTCCCTGGCAGCTGGAGGATGTCAGTGGGGCAAGAACCCGCCTGGCTGAGGGAGTTCCAGCTGCACATCCATGGACCACGTCCATCCCTGCTGCCTGGGCACGTGGGGCAGGCAGCTGTCACCCCCTGCCAGGCTGTCACTGCCAGAGGGGCCCAACCAGAGGCTGATGTTCATGAAGCTACACGAGTGCTCAGATGTCTCATGGAAGGAGGGGAGGCTTGGCCCTGGTGTTTCCCTCCATATGCAGCTGAACCAGAGACTTGTCCTTGTCCCTGCCATCCCCTGCCTCTGCAAGCAGTGACCCTTCATCCAGTGATCCAGGGGAGGGTGAGCTGGCCCTGGCCACAGCCCTGTTTGGGAGATTTCGTGGAGCTGAGTGCCCTGTGCTGGGCCCCATTTCCCTCTTGCCTTTCCTCCTGAGCCCTTTGCTGTGCAGCCCCTGATCCTGCATTCCCATGGCTGCTGAGCCCACCCAGCAGGGATGGGGGATGCTCTGTCAAGGCCTTTAGGGTGCCACGGGCAAAGGGCTCAAATTCTCTTATTGGGGCCATTCTTTGGGTTTGGGTTGTGCCTTCAACAACCACTGTGGTGACAAATCCAGTGTGGGAATCTGCTGCTGCCCCTGGAGCTGATCCTGCTTGTTGGGCTTGGGAAAGGACTTGGGTTTCTCTGTGCTTTTTTTTTGTTTTCTAATAAACGTTGCTCTTTCTAAGACACTCCTGGTCACCTACTGCTGGTTTGGGACTGGAAACTGTTCCCCGACAAGGGGAAAATAGGGAAAACCCCGAATCAAATGTGTCCTGGGGGGTTAAAACCAGACTCTTCCCTTCTCATTGCAGCATCCCGAGGTCGGAGCAGCGGCTGCGGGAGCCGGGCAGGGTCTGTCCCTGCGCTGGTGACAGCGCTGCCTTATCAGCGTCCCGGCCCCGGTGACAGCTGGGCTGGCTTGTGTCAGCCCCTCGGGCACTCACGTATCTCGGTCCGGAGGGTTTAAAATAGCAAATCTCTGAGGCCACACAATAGCTTGGGCTTATATGGGCTCCTGGGGGGGAAGGGGGAGCGGCGGAGGGGGCCAGGGCCGCGGCTGCCGAAATAGCAGCTCACAAGTGTTGCATTCCTCGCTGGGCGCCGGGCACATTCCTGCGGCGCTGCCCGCCCCGGGGTGGGCGCTGGAGCCCCCTTAAAGCCTCCTGGCCCAAAGAGCCTTTCCCAGACCCGGCGGCTCCCCGCGCTCCCCGCATCTCCGGCGCTCAGGTACGGCCGGGGCCGCGCCGCCCCTCCGGGGGGATGCGCCGGCTCCGGACCCGCGACGGGAGCTCCGGCCGCGGGGTGTCCCGGCCGCGCTCTCGGGTGATTTATGCCACTCAGGCACTGCCATGCATAAAGCATCTGGAGCCTCTCCAGCGGGCTGTGTTTGCCGTTTCTCTTTCGGACCACCCTGATGGGTGCCCAGGTGGCTCAGATGGGTTTTGGCTGCCCTGGTTCCGGGGAAATCTCCCGGTTCCCCGTTCCCTGTGTCTGCAGGGACATCAGGGATGTGATGCCCACGGGCAGCCTGGCCCTGGCTCTCTGGCAGCCCAGGGGGTGGGTTAGGGATGGGATGCTGCTGTGCCTGGTCTGACCCTGCCGAGCAGGACTGGAGCAGGGACGTGACCCATTCCTGGAGCCAACGGTGGGGATGGAGAGCTCCATGTCTGGGCAGCCTGGAGGATTGCAGAGACTCAGAACTGTGGAGGATTAACTCAGCCCCAGAGCTGTGAGCAGCCAGCCCTGAGCTAAAGGATAGGAGGATTTCGAGGAGTGTGAGAAATATCTGGATTGTTTAATACAGAGCAAATTCTGAGAGATTTTTTGTAGTCAGTGCAATATTTCCTCTTTGTCTCTGTAATGTCTGCTGGGTTCTCCTAATTCTACTGAATCTAGATTTCCAAGCTTTAATGAAAAGGTTTATGTGTTTCTGTGCAGAAGATGCATAAATATTTCCTTGAGCCACTTTTTCTTTTGTTTACCCTCTTAACAGTGCTGGACTTGTTGCTGTTCCCTCAGCTCTGTGGGATTTAATGGTGTCTGAGGGAGGAGTGCAGTGAGAATGTAGGAAGAGGCTTTCATACTATGGGGACTCTTCTCCTGTGCCATGAAATTATTGTGTGGAGCCTTGGGTGCTCAGATTTGGCCAAGCTTGGGGCATCACGACCATGCTGAGCATGGGAGAAAAGTGGGAATTGATGTTGGTGGGGAGGCAGGGATCCCAGGGATGGTGCTGGAGGGGGTGCTTAGAGCCAAGCCCCAGACCCATCACAGGAAGGGGTACAGTGGTGGCAGGAGCAGGCGGTGACCCCGAGGCAGAGGGGGCCGAGTCCTGCCTTTATTTGTCTCCAAAAAGCACCTTGTGAGGAACTGTGAGATTAAAGACCCTCTGGAGCCGTGGTTATGCCAAGGTTCCCCTCCTGGAATGCCCCTTTCCCATGCCTGAGCATTCCAGCCCTGGACCCAGCATCCTGAATAAGCACTCCTGAGGCCTGGCCTCCCCATCCCGGGTAATAAATGCCTGACAGATGTAGCCAGGAGCAGTTGTTCCCAGACTCGGGGTAGCAGGAGCAGGGAAGTCTTGCTGCTCTGGGAACAGGTGGTTCAGCACATGGAAGTTATTTCTGAGCTGCCTTGCATCGTCCTGTGGCATCTCAGCCCTGCCGAGGGCTGGCATGAGCAGGGGACAGGGCTGGGCTGGGGCTCTGGGCTGGGGCTCTGGGCTGCTCCAGGATGTCCAGGGATGGGGCTGGTGGGTGCAGGTCCCACAGTGCAGTGCTGGGTGAAGGTCAGATGAGGTGAGATGATAAGCAAAGTCCTCCTGAGCACAGCTGGGAGACTGATGTGCTGGGAAGATGAAAGGCTGTTTCTGCAGAAGTTTTAGCCCTAAAATGAGGACTAAATTCCTAAACCAAGCTGTAAATTATTCCTTTTAGCTAACGGGGGAAAGATGCACCTGCTGAGCTCAGGCTGCCCCTTTCCCAGCAGTTCTGCCCTTGGAGGGCTGGGCTGGGAGGGTTTGCTGAGGGCTTGTGCTGTGCCTGGTGCAGGGCTGTAAATCTGAGAGAAGGGGTCATCCCTGGGCTAAGAATAGTTAGGAAGCAAAACAAGCTGAACACTGCAGTGGGGTGATTTTCGTGTCCCCTGAGCAAACACAGCCCCTGAGAGGGCTGGGCCTGGGGGCTGAGTGCCCTGGACATGGCTCCTGACAGAGTTATCAGTGTCACAGGAGGTTGTGTCCAATCTCCTGCCTCCTGTTTGGGGCAAGCTGTGATTCTGGGACAGGAGGGGGGCAGGCATCTTATCTCTGCTGAGATAACGCTGTCACAGCCTGACTGGGGACTGCTGGAAGCTCCAAGTGCTTTGGAGAGAGGCAGCATCTCTGTGCCCCTGTCCTGGTGCTGAGGGACAGGCTGTGCTAGCCCTTATCTCACTTCTAACCCTCACTTTTTCCAATCTGCCTCGAACTCTGCCAGAGAACCAGGGATGTCAGACACAGAGGAGGTCACCGAGGAGTATGAGCAGTAAGTGGGATGGTTTTAACCCCTTTCTTTCTCCCTATTCCCATTTTCCCACTGCAGCATTGCTTGGAGGTGCTCTCGTTGTTAGCCCAGCACCCAGCAGAGACCCCCAGGCTGTGCCCCTCTGCCTTGGCAGTGCCTGACCCCAGCAGTGGCAGTTTGTGTTGGGAGCTGTGTCCACACCCATGGGCAGGACAAGGATGATTCCTGTATTAAAAATGCTGCAGTCTAAATCTGTGAGACAGGGATGAGAAACCCCAAGCTCAGTGGGGAAATGGGAAAACCAATCTGCTGCTGCTGGGGTCCTGCTGCCACATCCAGAGCATCACTCGCCAAGGCCCAGATTTGAGAGCAGCTTCTGCTGATGGAGCTGCTGGGCCAGGAGGCACATCCTGGAGAGATGGGGATGGGTTATAGGGGTGAGCCCCAACACAGCTCCCACTCCTCATCCACCAGCAGAGAAAGGGGACCTGAATCCTCTGGTGTTTCAGTGCCACACAGACTCGTGTGTGTCACAAATCTGTCCCCCTGGGATGGGCTGTGCATCTCCCCCATGGCCAGGGAAGGACTTGGGGGCAAAGGTGGGATGTGAGATTCCCATTTCTGGGATTACAGGCCAAGGTCACTCATCTTCTTGTACTGCAAAATGGTGATGTGCCCTGACCACTGTCAAAGTGCCAGTCCAGACCTTCATCCCCTGCTGTCCACAGCCTGCAGGGTGACCTGGGCCTTGTCCCTGTCCCCACTGCCACCTGCCAGCCACCCAGCAGCCATGGCCTGTGCTATGAGACAGGGGAGCCAGCCTTGAGGAATCCCAAACTCGCCTCAGCCTCACTGATGGCCCCGTTCCAGCAGCTCAACATGACTCTGTAAATTCCTGTTGTGCTTTGCAGGGAGCAGGAAGGTAAGAGGACATGGAGCACCTGCAGCTGCCCTAAGGCCAAAAACTGATCAGAGAAACTCCAATAACCTGAGGCTTTTTCCCTTCTCTCTGTCCGTGCCCTGTGTGCTCTCTGAAGAGGAGTGCGTGGAGGAAGGTAGGAGCTGCACCTGCAAGGACCAAGAGCCAAACACGAGGGCTTCAGTGTTTGCTGGGGGGTTGGGGGGCAGCTCCTGGGCTGCAATGGGCAAATCATGTGCAGGAAAGGCCAATGTGACCATATTTGAGATGCCTGCACCTGAAACATCAGTAGGATCAAAACCACTCTGAATTTTCTCAGGATCTGTTTTGTCAGTGATCCTTTGACTCAAGTCAGGGCTGGCAATGCTGGACATGGCTGAGGGGTGATCCCAATATCCCAACGGGAGCTGGAGTCTCTGCTGGACGTGTGACAGTCTTGCCAAACTGGAACTTTCACCTGCCTCAGCCTGATGGAAACAGAACCCCGGCATGGGATCTGGGCTGGGCTGGGCTGGGCCGGGCTGGGCTGGGCCGGGCTGGGCTGGGCTGAGCTGAGCTGAACCTCTGGCTGCTCTAGGGCACTACCAGGCAAAACATGCTGAGTGTAAAAGCCAAGAGAGGTGCAGGGGGAAGCCCCTGCTGTGCTCCAGTCCTCATCTCACGCACACCCAAACTCTGTGACACCCAACTAATCCCTGTGCTTATTCCTTCCCTCCTCCCTGGCTCAGAAGAGGAAGAATGGATAGAGGAAGACGACGGTAGTTATTGCACCTTTCATTATTTCCTCTCTCTGCTCTTGGGAAAAGTCCTGGGTTGATGTGTTCTGCCTCTCCCTGGTTGGGGAATGGTTTTCTTTCATTCTTCCACTTCTCTCTCTTCTTCCTGCACTCCTCCCATGCCCTGCTGTGCTGTGAGCCCATCCTCTGTCTGTGCCTCGTCTCTTATATCTGCCAGCCGTGGTTTGCTGTCTTTGCTGTCTTTTTCTTCTCTTCTGCCTGGCTGTGGCCCCGCGGGTGTTCCCAGGGCCTGCGGGCACAGCATCGCTCTGGCTCCGCCGAGGAATCCGCGGGGACGCTGCTCCCTCCAGTGGAAAAAGGCTCCAGCCGTGTCACAAATGCGTCCCCAGCCGCTCCCGGAGCTCCCTGCTGGGGCAGAGCAATAGAGATCCCTCCTTCCTTCCTGGGCTCTAGGGGAACGGCAGCATGAGAGGGGACGAGGGACAAGCCAGGAGGGGAAATCCTTCCATTTCATTAATTTTAGGGGGTTTTGCCCTAACGAGCACGGGCTGGGGTAAGGTTAGGGAGGAGCCCTTTGCTCCCGAGCCGCTGTGGCTGCCCGGGTCCCTCCGGGCTCTGTGCCGAGCTGTCCCAAAGCAGGGGTAGATTGAGGAGCTGCAGGGATCCAGGGGACGCTGCTGCTGTGCTCACTCTGCCCTCCCTGCACAGGGCAGGAGGAGCAGGTAGAGGAGGCGGAGGAGGAGACCACAGAAGCCAAGGCAGAAGGTGAGTGGGGCCGTGCCAGGAGCTCCGTGCCTTGGCTGGGCCATGCTCTGCTCCAGGGGATGCCAGCTGGGGGCTGTGAGAGAGGGACAGCAGCACAGAGGGGCAGCTGTCCCCAGATCTGGTGTCCAGTAAGGGGGTGTCAAACTGAGAGCCCTTCCCTGCTCTGTCTGGGTCCTACAAACAGGAAATGGTGATGAAATACATGAAATACAAATGGTGTTTGCTGCTGGTGGCTGTGTCCAGCCCTTTGAAATAATGCCAAAAATGGGCCAAGCCTGCTTCACCAAGGGGTCCATTGCCTTAGAGGGGTTCCCAGAGCTGGGATTGAGCTCTGATGTGTCTTATCATCAAGAGAGCACTGGGTTTCATGAGGTGGCTTTGGGGCATGATGTGTGACCCTGTGCTGTCCCTTCTGCTGGGGCAGGCTCAGATCCTGGCTGTGACCCCGAGTCAGAGTGCTGGGACCCCTCTGTGCTGGGGGTGTGACTGCCCTCACCCAGGGGTGCTCATGTTCTCCCATTGCTTTTAAACAGAACAAGAAGATGAAACGAAAGCAGCAGGAGAAGGTAAAGTGGGAGCAGAGGAGAGATGGGTTTGGCCATTCCAGTCCTAATCCCAGTCCCCTGAGACACTGGGCCCTTGTAATGGGGTTTTGGTGCTGAATTTATTTGCTGCCAAAGGGACAATCTGTGGTAAACGGGGCAGAGCTGCCCTGGTCACATCCCCCAGCAGGACAAGGGCAGCAGGAGGGATGGATTTGCGCTGCCTCTGGCAGAAATTCACACAAAATACAGAAGGAGAGGGATGCACTGCTGCTTTTCCAGGCTGAGCTTCTGCAAAACTTGTCTGGATTCCTCTTGGGGAGCACTTGGGGCTCTCCTGGCCACCCTGTGAGTGAGGGATGTCCCTCAGAGACCTGCTCTCCCCCCGTTCATCCTGCAGGGATGGAGCCAGGGTTTGCAGTGGGGACAAGCATTGGACAGCCACCCCACAGTGTCCCTGGGCAGGACTGGCCACGGGGACACAAAGCATCATGTCTTCCACAGGTGGAGAGGGAGACCGGGAGCAGGAGCCTGGGGAAGGTGAAGTATCACCCTGAAGTATCACCCTGGTTCCTCCTGCCTGGCTGGGGGCACCAGGGCCTGCTGTGCCCAGCCAGCAGCACCAGCTGTGCCTCGGGCACAGCGTGTCCTGTGGCACAGGGCTGGCATCTCGCTGCTGGGAGATGGTCCCTGGGAAGCCCCTGCTGCTGCGGGGAGAGGGAGGGCTCAGGGTGGGGCTTGGGTCAAGGTGGGGCAGGAACCCCTCGGTGACACTGACCTTGTCTTTCTGTGCTGCTCCTGGGACCTGCAGGCGAATCGAAGCCAAAACCCAAGTAAGTGGGGCAGGGTTTTCCCTGGGGCAAGATCTGAGCTGTGCCAGGGCAGAGGCTCCGTGGACAGAGCCTGATCCATAAAGGACCGGGCACAGGGAGCCTCCAGAGCAGGGTGGGACTGGGACATGGAGAGAAAAAGGGAGAGAAACAGACAGCAAAACACAGACCATGAAGGGCACCCTGAGAATGAGGACTTTAGGCAGTTCTGAAGCATTTTGTATGTTCTTTGGGAGAAGCTCAGCTGCCCTGTGACCCTGCAGGTGGCAAAAATGTGTGTGTGTGAGAGAGAGAGCATCCCAGTCTGGGACACAGAGTCCAGGCTATGGCTGGCATGAGGCACATGTTTCCAGGAGTGCCAGGGACTGAGCCTGAGGGAGCAGGACTGTGAATCATTGCCAGACACCTGGGGCGTCCTCCTGGGCCCATGGATTCTGCAGTGTGGGAGGCAGATCTGCCCTCAGCCATCATCATCCCTTCATCCCTTTGTGCCTCTGCTGAGCATCTCCTGCCCTCCCTCAAGCCCCACAGGATGAAGGATCCAGCTGCCTGTGCCAGGTCACACCGCAGCACACAGTGCCTTTTAGGGGGAGCAGAGGGTGGCTGCCAGCTCAGGGGGCCTGGCAGAGGGCCCTGGCCACACTGTCTGCAGCTTGCAGGGTTATTCCAGCCATGCAGGGAATGCCACAGGTCTTCCTCTGTGGCTGCCCAGCTGGCACCTCCAGCAGGATGCATTGCACTCCCTCTGCTCCAGCTGTGCCCACTCTGTACCCCCGGGGGGATCAGGGGGTGGGAGGGGTGAAGGGCACGGGCTGTCCCAGAGCTGCTGCAGCTGCATCGCTCCGGCTCCCCTTCCCCTGCAGGGTCTTCATGCCCAACCTGGTGCCTCCCAAGATCCCAGATGGCGAGAGACTGGATTTTGATGTAAGTTATAGAGCAGTTCCCACCCCTGGTGGGGGTGGGGGTGCTGCCCTCCCACTGCCCCCCTCAGTGTCTGGCAGCTGCTGGAGGCCCCGGCTGTCCGTGTCTGCTGCAGGACATTCACCGCAAGCGCATGGAGAAGGACCTGAACGAGCTGCAGGCCCTCATTGAAGCCCACTTTGAGAGCAGGAAGAAGGAGGAAGAGGAGCTCCTGTCCCTCAAGGACAGGATTGTACGTGTTCAGCCTTCCCCTCTCTGGCTATTGCCACCCACTCCCTGTGGGCACTCAGTCCCCTCCCCACAGTCCTGGCAGACCTGGGACACCCCTGACCCTGCAGGACAGAGCCTGAGGGGTGAGCCAGATTTCTGTGAGGCCCAGTGCCTGCACACCATGGAATTGCCTGAGCTGGAAGGGACCCACAGGGATCATTGAGTCCAGCCCCTGGCCCTGCACAGACAGCCATCCCACCCCATCCCTGGCAGTGCTGTCCAAACGCTCCTGGAGCTCTGGCAGCCTTGGGGCCATGCCCATTCCCTGGGGAGCCTGGGCAGTGCCAGCACCCTCTGTTGGAAGAACCTTTCCCGATATCCAGCCTAACCCTCCCCTGGCACAGCTCCAGCCCTTCCCTTCCTGTCCCTGCTCACTGGGATGCCCCTGGTGTTGCTGCAGTGGTGCTGCAGCGCCTGGTGTGGATGCACCTCTCCCCGGGGTCACTGTCCCCAGGCTCCCTTGGGGCTCTCGGCTCTCGGGGTCAGGGATGGAACAGAGAGGATGCAGATTCCCTGCGGTGTCCAAGCCAAGGTCCCCTCCCTGTGCAGGAGCAGCGGCGAGCGGAGCGGGCGGAGCAGCAGCGCATCCGCAGCGAGCGGGAGAAGGAGCGCCAGGCCCGCATGGCCGTGAGTGTCCTCTGGAAATGCGGCTTGGGATGGGCCCGGGGAGCCTGGGGACACGAGCTGTGTGTCCATCCATCCACTGCTGACCAGCTGCTGACCCTGGCAGGAGGAGAGAGCTCGCAAGGAGGAAGAGGAGGCACGGAAGAGGGCGGAGGAGGAGGCGCGGAAGAAGAAGGCGTTCTCCAACATGCTGCACTTTGGGGGATACATGCAGAAGGTGGGACCCTTCCCAAGGGGGCTGTGATGGAGCCACTGCTGCCCCGGGAAGGGCTCGGCCATGGGCTGGCCTCATCCCCATGACACTGGGGGTTACAGGCAGGAGAGGGCAGGGAGCTGTGCTTGGGTCAGAGTTACCGTGCCAAAGTGGGCTCAGAGCTGCCCCGAGCTCAGCTCTGCTCTGCAGATGTGCAGCTCCAGCCTTGCCTCAGGGACAGGGATGGGCACAAGGACAAGGTGTCTTGTCCACTGTTACCAAAATGTCCTTGAGGACTTCATGTGCTTCTGGAGTCCCAAAAGCTGAGAGTGTTTGGGTGTAGAATTGGGGATGGGAGAGAGCAAAGGCTGGGCAGACTTCCTTCTCTCCAGTTGATTGTTGGTTTCCTTAGTCAGAGAAAAAGGGTGGGAAGAAGCAAACAGAGAGGGAAAAGAAGAAGAAGATCCTCAGTGAGCGACGGAAGCCCCTGAACATTGATCACCTCAGCGAGGACAAGCTGAGGTGAGCACAGGCTGCGGGAGGGATGGCCAGGCACGAGCCCCGGGCTGGGTCCCAGCTCCTGGGCAGGATCCCGGGCTGGGGACAGCTCCCTGGGGCTTCCAGCTGAGGGGGAGGGCATAGCTGGGGTGGGCTGTGACACCCGATGGGGGACACGGGCTCCAAGGCTGTGCAGGGCCACCATGGCCAAGCTGCGGCTGATGGCACCAGCCATGAGAGGGAGCCAGGATCACACAGGTGGGACAGGTGTGTCCTGATGTCCTGTGTAGAGGAACCAGAGTCACACGGGTAGGACAGGTGTCCCCATATGTACTGACCTCACCTGTGGCTCTTGTCCTGAACTCACTGCCTGGAAAACACATCCCTGTCTGGGAGCCTCCTGAGCCACATCCCTGGGAGCAGATACAGGATTGGCATCAGTGCCCCATCCCTGCACTGAGCTCCTGGGGAGCCACGGCCCTTCCTGCACTGTCCACAGCTGGCTCTTCCTGCAGGGACAAGGCTAAGGAGCTGTGGCAGAACATCCATGACCTGGAGGCTGAGAAATTTGATCTGCAGGAGAAGTTCAAGCGGCAGAAATACGAGGTGAGCCCCAGGGCCTCTATGATTTGTCCACCCTCTGTGTTCCTGACTGCTCCTTCTGCTCCCCAGCCAGGAGATGAACTGGGGTGTGCAAGTGATCTCCCATCTCCTGGGGACGTTTAGCTGGCACCACCACAGGGCAAATATATCACAGGCCAGGCAGGATGGAGCCCTGAGCAACCTGGGACAGAGGAAGGTTTCCCTGCCCATGGCAGGAGGTGGGATGAGATGGGCTTGAAGGTCCCTTCCAACCCCAACCATCTTGGGATTCTGGGATTCTAAACCCCACAGAAAAACTGCTGGGGAAAAGAGAGCAGTGATGCATCTTCAGCCAGCCCCTGTCCCCAGCCTGAGGCTTCTTGTCAGACCTCACCACCCACCTGCAGCTTTTACTGCCAGACCTCACCACCCACCATTTTTTCTTGCAGATCAATGTTCTTCGAAACCGCATCAGTGACCACCAGAAAGTGTAAGTGGCTGCACATCCCTGTCTGGGAGCCTCCTGAGCCACATCCCTGGGAGCAGATGAGGGATTAGCATCAGTGCCCCATCCCTGCACTGAGCTCCTGGGGAGCCACGGCCCTTCCTGCACTGTCCACAGCTGGCTCTTCCTGCAGGGACAAGGCTAAGGAGCTGTGGCAGAACATCCATGACCTGGAGGCTGAGAAATTTGATCTGCAGGAGAAGTTCAAGCGGCAGAAATACGAGGTGAGCCCCAGGGCCTCTATGATTTGTCCACCCTCTGTGTTCCTGACTGCTCCTTCTGCTCCCCAGCCAGGAGACGAACTGGGGTGTGCAAGTGATTTCCCATCTCCTGGGGACATTTAGCTGGCACCACCACAGGGCAAATACATCACAGGCCAGGCAGGATGGAGCCCTGAGCAACCTGGGACAGAGGAAGGTTTCCCTGCCCATGGCAGGAGGTGGGATGAGATGGGCTTGAAGGTCCCTTCCAACCCCAACCATCTTGGGATTCTGGGATTCTAAACCCCACAGAAAAACTGCTGGGGAAAAGAAAGCAGTGATGCACCTTCAGCCAGCCCCTGTCCCCAGCCTGAGGCTTCTTGTCAGACCTCACCACCCACCTGCAGCTTTTACTGCCAGACCTCACCACCCACCATTTTTTCTTGCAGATCAATGTTCTTCGAAACCGCATCAGTGACCACCAGAAAGTGTAAGTGGCTGCACATCCCTCCTCCATCTCCTGCCCTTCCAGCTCCCTGCTCCCAGTTCCCTCCCTATGGATCTCCCTTGCTAAACCACCTCCTCCCCTTCCCCCTCCTGCCTCTGCTCTTGCTGGTGCCCGGCATTCCTGGACCTGCAGGTCTGTCTCAGGGATCTCAGTCCCTGCCCTTCTGCTCCTGGCAGACCTCCATGGTCCCACTGTCACCAGCTGCCCCCTCCCCAGAGACCTTGGCAGGGGATGGACCCCAGGGAGAACCCACCTCTGCCTGGGAGGCTTTGTGTCCTGTGGGGTGCTTCCAGTCTCCAGCCACCCCATCCCTGCAGGGGCTCTGCCCAGCACCTCAGGAAGCTGCTGGAGATCCCAGCTTGTCTAGCAGGGGAAGTCCCATGGGCTGTAGGATTTGTGCAGGCCCACAAGGCCAGGGGATCCTGTTCCCGTGCCCATGGTCCCTGCACGTGGCTGGGGAACCCTTCACAGGAGATGGAAGAGGCTGTTTAACCCCTACCCCAGGAGCACCCCGGTGCTCTCACATCCCCATCCCACTTCCCCCTCATGTGGGAGGTGCTCAGCCCACCCCGTGTGTCAGGGGCAGCAGCTCCCACCCCCTTACACCACATCTCTCTTTTCTTCTGCCCCACCATGGCATGATCCTGCAGCAAAGGGTGAGTACAGGCATTTCTGAGGGCTGTGTGTGTCCCTGCACAGGAGCTGTGTGTGTCCCTGCACAGGAGCTGTGTGTGTGTCCCTGCACAGGAGCTTTGTCCCCTTGCACAGGAGCTGTGTGTCTCCCTGCACAGGTGCTGTGTGTCCCACTCCATGTGTGTTGCAGGGACACCAGGACCCTAGGGCAGAAGCAGGGCTCAGGGATGAGGCAATCCCAAGGATTAGCAGCCAGAAATGCCCTTCACTGCCCACCCAAACCTCCTCCTCTGTGCTCCCCTGTGCTGGTTAAGGCGAGCGATGGGCTGGGTCCTGAAGGGCCCTGCAGCTGCTTTTGTCCCTCTGCAGCTGCAGATGCAACTTGTCAGTTCTTCCTGGAGTGATTCTTGGGGGGCAGAAACATGGGAAGGAAATGGTGGGTCCTCGGAATCACCTGGCAACTGCATGAGCCTGTTCCCAGGGAGTCCCAAGATCTTTGACTCAGGTCCCAGGGTTTACCTGGGCCAGTGGAGACCGTTGGCCCCAGGGCAGTTTTCCTTAGAATCACCTGGCAACTGCATGAGCCTGTTCCCAGGGAGTCCCAAGACTCTTTGACTCACGTCCCAAGGTTTACCTGGGCCAGTGGAGACCGTCGGCCCCAGGGCAGTTTCCAACAGGAAAAGGCTGCAGGACACTGACAGCACCCACCTCATCCTCCCTGTGTGATCACTGATGCCTTTTTGCACGTGCTGTTCCTCTTCCCTTGCAGATCCAAGGGTGCCCGTGGGAAGACCATGGTGGGCAGCCGATGGAAGTAGAGCTCAGGGAGAGAGGAGGCCGAGCCTCAGGAGCTGCAGCAGCTGCACAGAACCCTGGCTGCAGGAATGGGGGTTCTGGGGGGCAGAGGCCTCATGAGTGTCCCATCTCCACCCCCCAGTGTTGTTGTGTCTGTAAATAAAGAGGTCGTGAGGGGGTGCAGGTGTGGTCTCCGTCCTGAGGCTCTGATCCCAGAGGACACAGGCTCAGCACAGCTTGAGGAGTTGCCCACCCCAGGCTGTGAGAGGTCACAGCAACCACCCAGGATCCCCCAAGTAACTGTTCCTGTGCCTCCCAGCATCATCTCAGCTACAGTCCTTGGCAGGATTGGTGACACACCTCAGTGGTCTGAGCTGCTTTTCCTGCTGCACTTTGGGGCAGTCCTGGTCATGGCAACTTCTGTTCTGCTTTTGCTGTACCAGAGCCCCACTGACTCCTCTCTGGTCACAGCTGGCCCTGTGGGACACCATGGACAGGGGCACTGCTTCCAAGCCTCTTGGCCCATAGAATAGTCACAAACTCACCGGCTATTTCCATTCCTATTTCCAGCTCTTGCTAAAGGCTCTGACCAGCTGTGTTTGCCTCCTCTACATGTTCCTGACAGCATGCAATGAAGCCTTGAGATAAAGCTGTGTGGGGAGGCAGCTGCTCTGTGCTTCAGGGGGCAGATCTCTTCAGTCTGGCTGGGAATCTGCAGCACGTCACACGTGTGCTGTCCTTGGGGACATGCCACCTGCAGACCCCCCCAGTGTTCCCAGTGGACCTGGACCTGGTTTGGATCTGGATCTAGGTCTGGATCTGGACCTGAACGTGGACTGGCAGCCAGCCCAAGGCACCAGAGGTCCTGGCGGTGAATCTTGTCCCTTGGTGAGATGTTTGGTGTCCCCCTTGCTGGGACTGCCTGTCCTCCCCATCCCTTGCCCGGTGATTGTTCATCCCTTGCCCAGTGTCCTGCGGGTTTCTCCTGTGTGTTCCTGTTGCATGAGGATTTATCTTTCCTGCTTCAACACACACCACCAGGTTTTGGGGAATAAGGCTCTGGGAGGCTGAGAATCAGTGAGGCACAAGTGGAGGACAACAGCTCCCCACTACCTCCCTCCTCAAAACCGAGGTGTGGAGGGCAAAGGGGAGAGCTGGGTAGGGTGGCAGTGCTGGGACATGAAACATCCAGAGGGTGCCTGAGTGATGGTCCAGCAAGTGACATTTCCAGCCTGCCTGATGCACGGCAACAGGAGACAGGAGCGCTGGGGGCAGCCTGCTGTGTCTGCCTTGGAAAATGCATCCCCTTCTGCAGGCTCTGAGGATCCATTCTGCCTGCTGTGTCTGCCTTGGAAAATGCATCCCCTTCTGCAGGCTCTGAGGATCCATTCTGCCGGGTTTTGCAGCTCCCGGTGCCGCAGCGCACCCCGCAGCCGCTCTGCCCGTCCCTGGGGCTGGCAGCGCCCAGGGCGGGGGTACCCGGGCACTCCCTGCTTCCCACAGCGCTGCCTGTCCCGGCAGCTCCCGGCCCCGCTCCAGCCCGGATCCCTGCGCCGGGCCCGGGCCCGCCCGGCTCCTCCCCGTGCGGCACCGCCGGGGCACCGCGGCTGAGTCAGCGCCCGGCCCATCCCATCCCATCCCATCCCATCCCATCCCATCCCATCCCATCCCATCCCCATCCCATCCCGCTCCCAGTGCGCTGCTGCCGTGCTCAGGCAGGCAGAGCAGGAGCAGGCTGCTGCAGTCCCCTGGGACACAACAGAGCAGCCTGCGGTGTTTGCTGGGGGTTCCCGGGGTGCTGGAAAGGCCCCAGGCGCTGCGCTGGCAGTGGGGCGGCTGCCCTGGGTCGGGAGGCTGTGCCAAGGTTGGCTGGGGCATGGCACGGGTTCTGTGCTGGTGCTGGGGAGCAGCTCTGCCCCGGACCCCTCTGCAGGGGCTGCAGCTCCTCCCGAGGGGCGTCTGTGATCTCTGCTCTCTGTGAGCGACAACTGGAGCTGAGGGCAGGTCAGGCTGGATATCCGGGAAAGGTTCTTCCCCAGAGGGGCTGGCACTGCCCAGGCTCCCCAGGGAATGGGCACAGCCCCGAGGCTGCCAGAGCTCCAGGAGTGTTTGGACAGCACTGCCAGGGATGCCCAGGGTGGGATTGTTGGGGTGTCTGTGCAGGGCCAGGGGTTGGACTGGATGGTCCCTGTGGGTCCCTTGCAGCTCAGGACATTCCAAGACTGTGGTGTGCTGCTGTCCCCACCTGCCCATGGAGCTCGTGGTGCAAGTGGTGGGTCTGGGGTAGCACAGCAGAGCAGGGCTGAGCCCAGAGTGAGGGATCCCAGGAGCAGCCTGGGGAGGGTTGTGCAGTGTTCACAGCCTCCAAGTGCTTTATTGTGGAGATCTGAGCAACCTGGTCTGTGGAAGCTGTCACTGCCACTGCAGGGGGTAGATCAGGATGAGCTCTAAGGTCCTTTCCAACCCAGTGTATTCAGTGATTCTGTGCTTGCAGCTCTGTGTCCTTCAGCTCTGCTGTGTGCTCGCACTGCCCCTGTGGGCAGCAGCACCTCTGGCTGCCAGATCAAGGCCCTGCCTCTGCTGTGAGGGGTAGGGAGCTCTGCCCTTCCCCAGCAGGGCACCTTCCCGGGAGCTGTGAGGGGAAACATTCCCTGACAGGCTGCAGAGGAGCAGCATCTCTGCCACACGACAGGCACCTAGGGTCGCACAATCCCTGCCTTGGAAGGGACCCACAAGGACCATCAGTCCAGCTCCAGCTCCATCCTGTGGTCCTTTGAGGAGCCCCTTGTGCAGCACCTCTCTGGAGCACAGCTCGTGGGAGCCACGTCAGCCTGGGCACTGGGGCCAGGCTGTGTCCCATGGAGGCTGTGCAGTGCAGGCAGCCAGGAGCCCTCAGTGGAGACCCTGCAGGACTGCAGCGTGTGTGTGCTGTGTGCAGGGCAGGGCTTGTGTGGCACAGGAGCGCTGTGCCCTCCCCGGGGTGGTGCCAATGTCCTGGCAGGAGCTCAAAGCTCCAGAGGCTGCTCCCAGCCCAGGGTCCAAATCCTCCTCCCACAGTGTCCAGCACAGGTGTCTCAGCACTGTGGCAAGCCCAGCCTGCAGCAGACTTGTGCCAGGGCTCACAAACCTACAGCTCATGGTCTGTCCATGCATTCCCATGCCAGGGCACTGCCCGGGGTGCCACTGTCCCATGGGGTGGCATGGATGTGAGGGAGGATGCATTCAGTACTAAGAAGGTGCTGATGAATGCTGGGGCGATGTTTGGAGCTGTCCTTGTGCTAAAGCAGTGCTGGGAGTGAGGCAGCCTCGTGCTCTTCTCTGCCTGCTCGAGACCCAGAGCAAAGCCACAGTGAAATATTGCAGAGTCTGGTGCTGCCACTGCATCCCAAACAGGAGCTGCCTGCTCATGCCTTTGGCCAGCTCCCGTTATCCAGGCATGCCCTGGAGATCTCTGGGAGATGTTGGGATTGCTGTCTGGGGCCAATGCATGTCCCAAGGAACCAGGGTCAGGCAAGTGCCCTCAGCATTATGGGCCAGGCTGGGGCAGCAGTGGCTCACAGACCCTGTGGGACAATGGAGCAGAAGCTCTTGAAGCTGGAATTCTGCCAGCACCCCAGGGTCTCACCAGATGGGATGTGGGACCTCTCATTGGGGCCATCAGCTGGGGCACAGAGCCCCTCACCCCCAGCTCAGAGATGGCAGATTGTGGAGTGGTGAAGGGTGGGAGGGGCCGGGGGAGGTTTGCTGGGATGGAGCTGTGCCAGGGGAGGGTCAGGCTGGATGTCAGGGAAAGGTTCTTCCCCAGAGGGTGCTGGCACTGCCCAGGCTCCCCAGGGAATGGGCACAGCCCCGAGGCTGCCAGAGCTCCAGGAGTGTTTGGACAGCACTGCCAGGGATGCCCAGGGTGGGATTGTTGGGGTGTCTGTGCAGGGCAGGGGTTGGACTGGATAATCCCTGTGGGTCCCTTGCAGCTCAGGACATTCCATGATTCCATGATTCTGTGATCCAGTCCCCCCTTCCTGCTCAAGCAGGGAGATGTTGAGGAATTGTTTCCCCCTCAGGCCCATCCTGGGCGGGTGGGCTGCTCTGCCTCTCCTGCCTGTCTCCCTGGGGAGCCCATCAGCCCCATTCCTGGTGCAGGATGGGGAACCTGGGTCCTGTGGGGCTGCAGAGGGGAGACTCCTGTGCCCACAGTGGACTGGGGCAGCACAGCCCCCACTGCCCAGGTCGGGGGTTTTGGTGCCATCCAGGCTGTGCAGGGCAGCACAGAGCAGGTGGCACTGGATGCCATCACTGTGGGAGCCGGCAATGCCCATCCTTTGGAGTGTCCTGTGGAACTCACAGCTTCCAGCACCCCTGAATTCATGTACAGGGTGCCTGTCTTGCCCTGATGCCCAGTGCCACTGTTCCCACATGAGCAGAGGGTGCCCAGCATCCAGCTCAAACCAAGGCCAAATGGCAAGCAAAAACTGCAGAAAATGGAGAAGTACAGCCTTGGAGGTCGGGTCCAACAAGCACCTGTAGATTAAAAGACAGGGAAAAGGACATAAATGCTGAACTTTGCAACACCTTCCAGATGTGGAGCCCTCACCCCCTGAGTCCCCAGTCCTGGTACTGCTGTGCCACGGCCTCCTCACACAGCCCCTGCAGGGCAGTTCCATTTGTTCCTGCAAACATCTGAGGTTTGCAAGTTTCTCATGATTGTTTTTAAATGCCTTATAAAACTTCCAGTTTCATTGAGTGTTAGCCCTGTAAATCACTGCCCGTAGCAGCTCATTCACAGGTCTCAATTAATAGCCTTTAATTGGGTAAAGTCACCCATGGTTTCTGCTGATTCCACAGATGTGTTAAGTCACCAGCAAAGTCTTTAATGCACCCCAAGCGAGGTTTGGGTTTGGCACTGACACAATGCCCCGTGTCCACAGCCCAGCCCCGCTGACACAGCAGGTAGCGATGCTCTGGGATGGAAGGAAGAGGCTTTGGCTGCAGTCTAGAAGCAGCATTTTATTGGCACTTGGTGGAAGGAAAATGAGCTTCCTGGTGATGTGTGAATCACTGCCTTTGCGTGTGCTCTCATGCCCTGGTTTCAGTGTAGGGCCTGGGTGTAAACTCTGCTGCTGGGTGCAGGGCAGCAGCCCCTGGCAGGAGCACTGAGGGGTTGGGTCCTGCCTGGAGCTGGGACC